AAAATGCCTGTAAAAGCTCTTTTAAAATGTTCTAAAATTGTTCTAAAGTATATCAAAACCTTCTTAAAATTGCTCTTAAAATAAGGCTGTTCTAAATTGCCTTAAACTTCTCTAAAATTGTTCTAAAAGTATCTCAAAACCTTAAGAATTCTTAACAATTGTAAAACCTCAGGGTTCCGGATATATATATCCGGAACCCTGAGGTATATATACCAATCCAATATACATATATCAACTATTGTTTTATGATAATATATAAATATATTATACAGGGTGATTCACCTAACTGATTCATTAGGGGTTTATAGAGAACTAAAAGAGACATCAATCTGAAATTTTGGTTGCAGCTTTGGTTTCTATCTTCATTTGTTTTGAGATATTTAATTTTTTCAAAAAAATTTGACACTTGGAGTGACTGACTAAAATGTCTGTATTACCAACAATTGTAATGTTAAAAAGTTTATTTTTAGTAACAAAGACGTATCCTATCAGGAGCCATTAATAATATTCCAAAATGTTATACAGGGTGTTTGGTATTTACCTTTACTTTTTTTGCAATTTTAAATGCCAATAACTTTCTTATTTCAAATGGAACGACAATAAATTTTTTACACCATTCGACGCGGAATTTTATTTTCCATTAAAATGGTATAGCATACCCTATAGCTAAAATGAGTATTTACAGAGATATTACCAAAAATGTGAAAAAACGCTCATTCGACTTGTGTGTATTGTCACAAGTGTGCTTTGGATGATTTTATATGTCATATTTGACAAATAAGTAAATGTAAACTGACAGATAGCTAATTGTTTCATGATGGCTGATAACAATACTTATACTAATCGTGATATTCTTAATATGATTTATACATATGGCGAGTGTGGCAAAATTTTGGAAAGAACTGTAAGAACTTTTAATGAGAGGTATCCTTATTTAACTCCGCTTACCAAACTCAAGTTTCGAAAGATAGAGAAGAAGTTAAAGTTGAGAGAAACCGACAGAAAATGGTGACAGGCAATAAAGAAAATCAGATTAACGTTTTGGGATATTTCAATGCAGAGCCTCAAGGGTCTATCAGAGGAGTAGAAATTGCAGGTGGAATTACAAAGTCCCGTCCGTTACGCTTTAAATTATTAGTTTTTCAGGAATTAAACAGTCAACCACGATACCTAATTTTGCCAAATAAAAACCTTATTAAACAGCTTTAGTTTAGAACTATTTATAAAAATTTGACATTGGTAATATAATAGAACAATATTATTTTGTAAATAAAAACACGGCAACTGTCCTATCCGTTACGCGTGGAATGGCCTTAAGGTTAATTTTGTTAAAAAAAGCGTAAGTTGAAAAATCATACAATAAAAATTAAAATTTCACATTTTTTTTATCTTAATACATTAAACTGTTTATACCTTTTGGACTATGCACCTCAGAAAATCCATACAGGGGTATTTTTGTAGGAAATTTAATTTCCTACAAATTGTTTTCTGACAATTTTTTTATAACTTCAACTGTTTTGTTGATAAGAACGAAAATATAACAATTTTTGAGAAAATTGGGCTTTCGAGGTAGACACCGATGAGACGGGTTCTAACACTCCCACAAAATCAACAACATATCAACTTGCACATTAAAATTATTTTCCATGATTCATTGCACAAAAAAACTTTAATCGTCAAAATTCTCGACTAACTTAGATAAAAATAACGCGTTTCCATGGAAATAAACAACAACGTGCAGCTTAAAAGACTTGATAAAAACATTGAAGGGGTCCGGTTTTGTACGCCGTGATGAAAAGTGTGAAACATAGCTGACTTTGAGAACCGGGGGGTACAAAATTGGATTCCCGGTATAGAAATATACCTGTATTATCGCAAGCTTTGACCTTTTAGCGAGGTATTTTTTTATTTGGTTAAGAGATTGTCAAATGGCGGAGGTAACTTGCTGAAGCCGTATACAAGCATATGGTCACATGGACTAGCTTCCAAGCACCAAGGTCGAAAATACCGAATTTAGAAAGAAAGCAGAAGAGAAAACAGTAAAATTATTTTTTAACCTAAAGAGAAAATCAATTTTTTTTGGCACACATACGTAGTTTTTTACGTAGATCCGAATTTTATATAAAAAGTACATCGTTCCATCGAAAAATCCAAAGATACACCCCGCCCCTTAATGTGGTGGGGCTAAATTTCAAAAATATGTCTAAATATGTCCCCCCATGTCCCCATTACTTCATTAAAATTTTTGGACTAATAAATTTACTATTATAACATTTATTTCTCTCTCCATAAATTTAACCTGGAAAAACTTGGTTCGTGCCGTTTCAGATGAAGCGTAGAACGCGCCCTACGTCCTGCGCCGCGCGTTTTAGGATCGGTCGGTTTTGTTTTCACATGAAGCGGTATCAGTATAGACGTGTCTCGATACACACCAGGCGTTGTTGCCATTTCTGCGTATTGCCTAATTAATAAAACCCGTGAACGAAAAAAACGACTTTGGGTACATCCAATTGTGGAACAACGGTTACTAAAAGGTGCATTTGTCACCCTGTATTTGTCCTTTTTCTCCTTTTCCGGTAAGTCACCAAAATTCTCAATTAAAGCAACGGAGATTTTTTTCCAAGCCTTTTGCCTACAGTTTCGGTTTTTATATTCGTCCGAAGTATCCCATATATTTTTCGTGTACTGCACTTATTAATAGTTCTGTATCAATATTTAACTCCATGTCGTTCGAGTGCATTTGCATAAATGCGTATGAATAAAACCGGCAATTCAGCTCTCCAGCCAACGCGCGACGCAGCATGTGAATAGCACGTATCACCACCATGCCCAAACGCCTAAGTGCCGTTTCAGATGAAGCGTAGAACGCGCCCTACGTCGTGCGCCGCGCGTTTTAGGATCGGTCGGTTTTGTTTTCACATGAAGCGGTATCAGTATAGACGTGTCTCGATACACACCAGGCGTTGTTGCCATTTCTGCGTATTGCCTAATTAATAAAACCCGTGAACGAAAAAAACGACTTTGGGTACATCCAATTGTGGAACAACGGTTACTAAAAGGTGCATTTGTCACCCTGTATTTGTCCTTTTTCTCCTTTTCCGGTAAGTCATCAAAATTCTCAATTAAAGCAACAGAGATTTTTTCCCAAGCCTTTTGCCTACAGTTTCGGTTTTTATATTCGTCCGAAGTATCCCATATATTTTTGTTTTCGTGTACTGCACTTATTAATAGTTCTGTATCAATATTATTATCAATGTCGTTCGAGTGCATTTGCATAAATGCGTATGAATAAAACCGGCAATTCAGCTCTCCAGCCAACGCGCGACGCAGCATGTGAATAGTACGTATCACCACCATGCCCAAACGCCTAACGTAGCTACGTCGGGCGTACGGGCCACGCGCTAGCCCGCGCTGTAAATTTCACGCGCGCGTACACGCCCGCATCTGAAATGTACAATTAAACTCGATGCCAACCGAGTTTCTGGCGTAGGGCGTAGGGCGCGTCATACGCTTCATGTGAAACGGCACTAAGTGCCGTTCACATGAAGCGTTCGCGTCCCGACTTGTTTTTGAGCAGTCGAGACGTAGCCGTCGACGGCGGACTGCTGCGTCTTCCAGACGAGCCGCGTTAACGAAATCGCTGCCATTGCAATGCATTATAGCTGTACTCGACGGCTGGACGCCGTGGCGGGCCGCGAACGCTGGGCGTCGCAACGAAATCCCACCTTTAAGGCAACAATGTTCTATCGTCTCCTAACAACTTTTAAAACTCCTACGTTTAACCTAGGCGAGAGCTCTCGGTATTGGCTGCCGCTTTTTTGCTCTCATTCGATTACACTATTACCTAGAAATTTTTTATTTTTAAATTTGGTATCTCCATTGCTATCGGCACGCCCCCTTTTCCTCTGTGGCGCGAGTTCTGGGACACCCTGTATAGAAGAGATTAATTATGGCACAAACGGCGCCTCATAAAATAAGTTTTGATTTTATGATTAATTGGTCACTTATGTAAGTTTTTTCAGTGAAAATTTGGAGTTATATTCGAATTTGTAATTTTTATATTAATAAAACTATTTGAATTACCGGATCAAACTCGATTCCTTGCGAAATTTTCTGTACCATTTTTTAGAATTTGAAAAAACTGCAGTTATTTTAATTTTAAAGCCACCAATCAAAGCGCAGTATTTCTGCTCTATCGGATAAGTTTTTCTTATATTATTGTGTTTACAAAAGACTAATAATTAATATTGATACGCTATCATTGGAAAACGGTAAACATAAACAAATTCGGTGAGTGTTGTCGCAAGCGCAGAGTCAAAAGGCGGGACTCGCCCTAGAGCAAACACACTGCGCTCTCATTGGCGGCCTTAAAAATTAAATAACTCCTGCAGTTTTGCGAATTCGACAAAATGGTATAGGAAATTTTGTCCTAGATTTTCGCAAGGAACCGACCCCATTTCGTTTGGTCCAGTGATTTTGGGACTCTCTGTATATGAAATAAACACCAAATATAATAAATAATCATTTATTAAATAAATATCAATATCAATATATATCCACTGATGTGATAGTTATATAAATATTATAATTTCAAACCCTTTTGAACTTTTGAAAAACACTTAGACTTAGACTTTCCAAAACTGTTTTAAAATGCCTACAAACTCCCTAAAACTCGTTTAAAATGTCTATAACTAAACTTTCTCAAACTGTTTTAAAATATCTTAAAACTGTACAAACGTTTAACTTTCAAACACAACTATTTTAAAATTCATTAAATCTTTCTAAAATTGCTCTTAAAGTAAGGGTGTTTTAAATCCTTTAAACTTTCTAAAACTGTTTTAAAATGCCTTAAAAACTTTTTAATATTGGTCTAAGACTTATATTAAACGCTTTAAAATAATCTAAAACTGATAGAATACCTTTAAACAGTACAAACATTTTTAAAATGACTAAAAACTTTGGTTCTAAAAGATTTTAAAACTAATTAAAAATATTTTTAGCGACTATTTATTCAAACTTCTACTTATTGGTGATTCTGGAGTTGGAAAGTCCTGTTTGTTACTTAGGTTTGCGGTAAGACTACATTCTTCCAAATTTTAAAATATTTTTTTAACTTTGAACGTAATATTTAGGATGATACTTACACGGAAAGTTATATCAGTACCATTGGAGTAGATTTTGTAAGTAAATACAGGAATATGCTTTGTTAACATAAGTATAATGTTGGTTTGTTGTTTTTAGAAAATCCGTACTATAGATTTGGATGGAAAAACAATTAAACTCCAAATTGTAAGTATTTTTAAGCAATTTAGTTTTTCCGCATCTTATAGCTCATTTTATTTTTTAGTGGGACACAGCAGGTCAGGAAAGGTTTAGAACGATCACGTCGAGTTATTACAGGGGGGCACATGGTATAATTGTGGTGTACGATTGCACAGACCAAGATTCCTTTAACAACGTGAAACAGTGGCTCGAGGAAATCGATCGTTACGCGTGCGACAACGTAAACAAATTGCTGGTGGGAAACAAGAGTGATTTGACAACAAAAAAAGTTGTCGACTTCACAACAGCAAAGGTATGAAGATTTGCTTAAGTTGTTTTTAAATACTGCACTATTGTTTTATTGTTTAAGTTATGAATCATCTTTTTGTTTCTATGTCAAGTTATAAAAGTAAAGCTGTTTCAAATTGACTTAATACTTTCTAAAACATTTTAAAATGTCTTAATACATTCTAAAACTGTTTTAAAATGCCTTTAAACTTTTTTAAACGGTTTTAATCTGGGTTAAAACTTTCTAAAAGTATCAAGAAATCTAAAACGGTTTTACAATGCCTTAAAACTTTCTAAAAATGTTTTAAAATGCCCGCACTTTCTTAAATTGATCTTATAGTAAAGCTGTTTCAAATAGCCTTACAACATTCTAAATTGTTCCAAAAGTATCTCAAAATGCATTTTAAAATTTCTACTAAAAAAACTTCTTAAAATTTCTAAAATTCTTTTAAAATGTCTTAACTGTTTAAACTTTCCAACTTCCTAAAATTATTCTTAAATCTCAAAACCTTAGGGTTTCGGATATATATCACGCTGATATCAACTATTATTTTATGATATATATCATCTTATAAAAATTGTATTTATAATTCAAATCGACAATTTATTAAATGTTAAGTATATAATATGATCTAGTATGCTCCTTATTTTTATACAATTAAATATTATCAATTATTTTTCTAAAGAATAAATACGTTTTTATTGTATGATTATGTTTGAGTTTGTTATTTTTATATTAAAACTATTTAAATATCAATGCCTTAAAACTTTTAAAAACTGTTTTAAAATGCCAAAAAAACGTTATAAATTAACTCAAAGTAAAGCTATTTTAAAATGCCATAAAACTTTATAAAACTGTTCTGTACTGTATGACCTGTTGTTGTGATAGCTGAAATTGTTATTAATAAATTTGAATTTGTTTCAAAATGCCTCAAAACTTAATAAACGCCTTATAACATTTCAAAATTTATAAAATTACTCTTAAAGTTAAGCTGTTCCAAAATTTATAAAATTGTTTTAAAATGTTTTATGTTAATTTAAATAACCTTCTGAAACAGCTTTAAAGCTGGTATTAATTTTTTTTTAAATATGGATAGTTTTAAAGCTGTTTTTAAATATACTAAAATTGTTTTATAATATCTAAATACAATACAGAATATGTTAAAGTTTATCCAAAAAGGTGTATAAAATTAAAATAAATATCATAATACATTCCGCCGCCGCCGGTGACTAGTGGTCAGTGCTGTTGACTACAAGCCATGAGGTCGTGGGTTCGAATCCCATATTGGGATGGTTGTTTATTTGTGTTGTCCTATTGTGTATAAGTTTTTCGGAGGGGATTTTAAACCCGCGGTCCGTTCCTACCCCTAGCTCGCACAAGCCATTTAGTTGGCTTCTGGGACTTTTAAGGAAGTAAGGGTGGAACTAAAGTAGCACTTTTGCATACTTTTTGTATTCCGGGTACTCAAAAAAATAAATGTCTACCCTGCAGCAAAATGTTGAACAGTGTATGTATTTTTCTCATGTGAATTTAGGAATACGCCGACCAGCTGGGAATCCCGTTCTTGGAGACGTCGGCGAAAAACGCTTCGAACGTCGAACAGGCGTTCATGACCATGGCGGCTGAAATCAAGAACAGAGTGGGGCCGCCATCGTCGGCCGCCGACCAGGCCAACAAAGTCAAAATCGACCAGGGAAGGCCCATAGAAACCACCAAATCAGGATGTTGCTGAGCTTGATTTTATACAGGTACTATCTAAAATTGTTTTCAATGTAAAGATATTTTAAATTGCCCTAAAAATGCTTCCTAAAACTGGTTTAAAATGTCTTAAAACTTTCGAAAACTGTTTAAAATATTATATTCTGTAACAAGTTTAGAATACAGCATATGGAATTCCAAACGTGTTTCAGACTATACTGTTTCTACGTTTCCAAAAAATACCATAGAAAAATAATTTAAATGAGAGAAAGTGAGGTTGGATCAGTCTAAAAGTGGTTAGATAATAAACACAGAGATTTCCCCACCAGTGTTTATTCCGTCATCCGATGATAGAATAATTCATTCTGTAATACTTTAAAGAATTTATGTCATTCCACATTAAAAGTGATATTAGAACGGTCATATTTCGTCTTCTTCTTTCTGTATTTGTTGGCCTCGGTTAAGATGCAACCATATCGACCAGTGGTTTTGTGTTCCTTCTAATCCGGGGTATATTCTTTCTAATCCGGGGTATATTGTACCAACGTGCTTAAAAGTGGGTTATGTCTGACCATGTGAAGCGTAACTTAATAAAAAGCGATTACTACAGCTTAATGTTAGAACTCTCTAGAAAGCTACTACTACTTCGTGGGAAGGATTGTTTAAAATCGTGGAGAGGTTAATGGGATTTATGTTCTGGTTACTGATTCTTCTGTAAAGTGTGTTAATTTGTCTTATTAAGAGTGGACATTCTAGTAGGTGTTGGATGCTTTGTTCGTTCGCATGCTGGTGCGTCCGCCAATCCTATTCTGTGTAGGTGGGATTTAGTGAGGCATATTCCTTAATAGGCCCAGATAGCAAAATGAATTCACTATAATTCACGCGTGAAAATTAAATTCACGCGTGAATTCATATAACGCGACAGATGAGTACTCAATTGATGCTCAATTTGCCATCACGCGTAAATTTTTTGCGCACGCGCTTTAAGAATATTGATTTAATTTTTCAAAATAATTTTGTCGAAATATTTATTTAACATCTTAAAATACACAAAAACATAGTTTAAAATAATTAATAATGATTAGTTTGTGTATTTTTAAACATTTAAAATAAAGATGTCTTAATTTTTTGACATGGGAAAAGGGAGGGTGTTGCATGCACATATGCGAAATTATTATTTATTATAATAACATAAAATATTATATGAAAATATATTTTATTATATTTACAAGTGTAATTTGTATTAATTAATAGATATTAATACCGATATTATAGATCTATTTATATTGATAATGTATAATATTCTTTTTAGAACGTAATTTTTCTCTGATACGTATAATTTGAACAATACTAAATTGATTTTATTTATTTTAAATATTATTTTTCAGCAGACCCAAGATTAGATATTTATACAGGGTTCCCCATAATAGGCTACCCATTTTAAAATTTGAATTAAAAATTTATTAGTTAACAATACAAACTTTTTATTATACTAAATTACAGCTAACTCTTTGGGATTTATGATAACTTATAAATATTTGGCTAATTTAATTTTAACTTTTAAAAATCACGTCTTCGAAATGACCTCCACCAACTTCAACACATTTTTCAATATTAGATAAAAAGTGGTAAAGTCGTAAACGCAATTCTAACTCGTTCAATATTTTCTGGTGTACGAACCAGGCTTTTTCAAATTTTGTACAGAACCATTTTCACGCCAATGACGAACCCATAACTTAACAGTTTTACGATTTGGCGCTTGACCCCTATTGTTGACGCCGGAATGCACGCCTAACTTAAGTTAGAATTCTTCTATCGAATTGCTTCTTATGTAAGTTTCTACACAAAACACACGTTGTTGGACTGAGTAATCGATGAAAGTTCAAACGGATGTTGAAATAATGTCTCAAAGCAAAAAAATTAAATAACTTAAATAATTATTGATGAAAACTAACAAACTTCTCGTAAAAAAAAATGACGTTCCAGGAAATTATTAATTTAAAACTTATTTGTGACAGGCGCCTACTTGATTAATAATAAACTTAAATCCCAAAGACTATAGAAGATATTCCCATAGAGAACAACTTATTTAGTTATCTCGTAGGGAATTTATTAATAAAATAAAATGGGTAGTCTATTATGGGGAACCCTGAAATAAAAAGTGCAGTTTTTAATTATGCAATCCATGTATTTTAAAATAAAATCGATTAAATCACACGAGACTATACTATGAATTCATAATCGACTCACGTGTGAATTACTCCAAAACTTCACGCGTGAAATCATATAGCACACATTATTCACTCACGCGTGATTTTGTCTTCACGTTTGCTATCTGGGAGGAGTAGCACAAATACCTTAAAACATTCTCAAAACCTTCTTAAAAGGGTTAAACTTGCTCTCAAAGTACATATTTTAAAATGCCTTAAATCTTTCTAAAAGTATCTCGATACATTTGAAATTCCCTTAAACATTCTTAAGGGGTTACATACATATGAGCTCGTAAAAATTAACGTTTTTTTGGTGATTTTTTTTGGTATATAATAATATTTATATTGAAACGAACTATTAAGCATCGAATAGGGTACATATCAAAGTATTTGTAAAAAAATTGTTATGCGAAAATATGTAAAATTGTGGAAAATACGGCCCTTGCCCCAAAACGGCTTTTTTTTCAAGCGTTTGCGGTGAGCATAAAATATCGAAACCCGCCCTACAGATCTTTATGAAAAAAAAACCATATTAGTACATAGTATCACCCCCTTCGTGAACGAGGGTTTTTTTAAAAAAAATCGATTTTCAAGGGTACAAAAATTGAATTTTCCGGCCGGAAAAATAGAAATTATTGTCCAAATAAAAATCCTAGCTATTGTAATAAGGAATAACACTTCCAAATTTCAGATCGATCGGTAAATTGGTTTTTGAGAAATCGTGCTCACGGCAACGGCATTTTTCAAAAAATACGATTCCGAGATAAACGCGTTTAAAGTTTTAAGTTCATTCAATTTGCCCTTAAATTTTCGTGAGGTAGGGCGCTATAAATTGCTATAACATAAGTTCTAGTGCTCCGATCATAATGAAATTTTGAGTACATATTCTTAAAAGTATATGTTGTAAGAATATTTAATAAACAAAAAATCGATTTTTTTGACCCAGCACAAATGTATGTAACCTCTTAAACTGTTTTAAAATGTTTCTAAAATTGGTCTAAAAGACCTTAAAACTGTTAAACATTAAAATTGCCCTCAAAGTAAAGCTGTTTCAAATTGTCTTACAACTTTCTTTTACTGCTTTAAAATGCCTCACTAAAACTTTTTTAAACTTTTTAAAACTGTTATAAAATTTTGTAACTTTCTTAAATTGATCTTTAAGTAAAGCTGTTTCAAATTGCCTTACAACTGTCTAAATTGTTCTAAAAGTATCTCAATATGCATCTTAATTTTAAAATATGAATAATACATACATAAACATTTACTTAAATTTTGAAAAAGTAAATGAGTAAAAAAAAATATTTTTGCATTTTGAGATACTTTCAGAAAAATTTACCAGGTTGTAAGGCAATTTGAAACAGCTTTACTTAAAGATCAATTTTTATTAAAAATGCATTTTTTTGTATAAGATTTTGTATTTTTTTTAACATGTATTTTACTTTCAGGTTTTAAGGTGGTCATTCATTATTTTGTACAGTAGCCGTTCAATTACAAATTCATAACCTAATATATCCGTCTTTAAGTATAGATAATTTACAGTGTAATCTTTTCACAATTTATATTTACAATTTAAATGAAAATGAAAAAAATAAACCCATTACTGTTAGCCTAATTACCTAATAACCTAACTTCTTCCTAGCGAATTTGTACACAACAGCTAAATTGAAACAACTAACTGTATATACCTTTTTTGGAGACAAAGAATATAGAATATTTTTTGCGGTAAAATATTTTGCAAAGGCTCTCTTTGTTTTCAAAAACCAGGGATGTTTATAATTTTTTATTTAAAATATATTTCACTTTTAAAAATCATTGTTTTTATTGACCTATCACTTAAACAACAAATCTTTGTAACTAATATTGGAGTATTTTTTTAGGGATGTATAATCGATTTTTCTTTGTAGTTAATCAAAATAAATTTGACTGAGTTTTTTGTAATCGCTATGTTATTAAATTAAATTGATATGAAAGCACTTGGATAATATTATATTACTAATAGCTGCTAGGCACATATTTTGTTTATTTTCTTATTATCCTTTAAATTTGTTTTGATTTTTTCATACCTATTCAAATTTGTATAATATAGGATACCATACAACTTTTGTTATAATTTTTATTTTGTAGTTTATATTTATATGATTGTATAAAAATAATTAAATTTTTAAAAATACTTTTTTTTTATTACATCAAACCTTGTAAGTTACCATGTTTACTATTGGGTATTTCCGCGAAACTTTACCCCACCTTGACAAAAAATCAGATGTGTTATTAAACAAAACCCAAACTATACCTGAAGTCAAATAGTTTAATTGCGACGTAACTTTAAGAATAAACTCGGAGGAGTTTCAATACTCGATAAAAAGTTCAAATGTCGCACCCGTTACATTTAGAGAAAATTTTAGACAATAATTTTGTTATATGGTTTTCTATACAAGTTTTTATTGACATTTTGTTTGAGTTAAATATCCAGTTTTTTATACTATTTTTGCATATTAACGTATCTTGATATATCTGAACACACTTTATTAACATGAAAAAACGCAGTGTCAGTGTCGCATCCGTTACAATGGAAATACCCTATAGTTAGTTATTTGCTAATTTTAAATATTAACAATAAACTTGGATATTTGTTGTAAACTTGGAATTTCAAATATAATAATAATTATATTATTATTTATATTAATATATAAATGTTAAGATTGTCAATTTTGAAAAAGATAAGTTTTCAACATAATATGTCATCTTTAATTTTGCCATAAAAAGTGAAATAAATTTTGATTTTTTTGATTAAGCAAAATCCTAACACAAAACATTTAATGCCAAATCTGCCACGGACCGATTTGCTTCAAATTTTGAGGGTCTATAGACCCTCAAAATTTGAAGCAAATTTTTTCATTTTTTGGGTTCCACTATAGTGGAACCCAAAAAATGAAAAAATCTAAAATTTCAGTAGGTCCAAAATACATGGAAATTGTTTGGTCTTATCACGGCGCAGACCACTTCTTTTTTGTTGGCCTGTGTAATTAATATTTTACAATTATTGTGAAATAGGAACTAACTTGAGGAGGGTATGTGGCAATAATTATTAATTTGTGTGTTTAATTTTCACGCCCCAACAGAAAATTGCCGTTGATCAGTGGCGCGATTTAACGCGCTTTCGTGAAGAAAACAATTTATAATTGCAGTTAATAGGTGTACAAAAAAATAAATACTTAAAAATTGCGCAAATGTTAGTTATTTTATTTACTATTTTTTGATTTTTATAATAAAGAAAATCTTGAAACGCGGTCATCTCAGGAAATCCTAATAAAATTATTTTTGCATTGGATAGTCTGTTTATTTAAAAAGCCCCCAGGACTTCTTGACTGCGAGAGAAAATATCCGCCGGAGAGCTCTCCCTGTAATAGAACGAACATTCACATCCCCGAAATTTTCTCTCGGTATGCCAAAGTCGTATTCTCGACGGATTACCGTGAGAAGCATGTTGCCATATTTATATACTGTATTTGCCAAATCAAATGAAAGTAATTTAAATTTCCCGCGTAACTTAAGTTGACTAATGTCACATTTGAAACATGATACTACATAAGACTGGTAATCCGTCACACCGCTTGGAGCGGACCGGTTTCAAGGCACTGCGGCCGGTGAGAGAGATAGCGATAGAAAGGGCTGGTGGCCGATTGAAATCCATATAACTTTATAGTAAAAAGCTTGATTTGAACGTTTATTAATCTTTTTTTTAAAGACATGCACTGCATTAATATTTTTGGATAATATCATCTTAAAAACATAAATATATAATAGATTTAATAAATTACTTTATGTACCTATAGGCATATATATATATATATATATATATATATATATTATAATTATATAATTAATATCGGTAAAACTTTTAAAATCGAAAAATATTGTAAAACAATGATTTAATACTTAATGTACAATTACCTATCAACACTAATTTATCAACAAAACTTATAAAAGAGGATGGGACAGTGAAACGATAAACATTTCTAAATTTTATTTATTAGCATATGCATATAATTTTTATTACCTCATATGAGGTAATAAAAATTATAAAAAGCAAATTAAATTTAAACTGATAAATAGAGTGAGTCGCCTTTTTCCAAAATTAATTTGATAATGGCAAAAATAATCTTTGAGGTAGAAAAAATTATTTGCAAGGATAAATAATTTTTGGACAACATCTTAAAACTTTAAATTGAAGTCACAGTTTGTTATCTCAATGGTTATTATTTTTACACAAAATAATTTGGAAAAAAAATTGAAAGCAATTCAAGACATATAAATTTATTTAAAAGGTCGTTAAAAAGACGTTGATGACTTTCAAAAATATTAAATCCATAAAATTCATATATATATATATATATATATATATACCGTACCTTCATGCAAGCTAACCATAGGGAAAATACATTGTAATTGGACCAGATAAGTCTTAGTCAGCACGAAGCAAAAAACGTTGTAGAAATGATTTGGACGCGTGGACGAGTAGGCTAGCATGCGCCGTAACAGTTGACCTTGCTTCATACATCGATGCTTATTATTGTTTTTTATTTTGTGCGGTGTAAATCTGGTAAAATTTGTTTTAGTACGCATGTCTCGACGACGCATCCAAATCATTTCTATAAAGGTTCTCGCTTTGTGTTGACTGCGACTTATCTGGTCCAGTTACAATGTATTTTCCCTATGGTTAGCTTGCAAATGAAGGTACGGTATATATATATATATATATATATATATTGATAAAGGGTACATTGTCACCTCCATATATATATATATATATAGATAGATAAAGGGTACATTGTCACCTCCAAAACGGAGACCCTTCATACTTTGTGACCTCATATATGACGCTGTGACCTCCAAATTCGGAGGTCACAGTGTTTAACCATATTTTTGACATTGGGGGAGTGTCAGTACTCAATCTGTGCAAAAATATTTCGGAGGTCACTTTGACCCCCCATTCTCTTAAAAAGGAACTTTTAGTTCCACCATATATGAATTGGCGCTAGTGTCGCTTTTTAATCAGATTCAGCCACACCAAAGTTACCTCCGTCATGTATACGTACATTTGTTACCTCCGAAATTTGGCAACCTTGCAATATCTCGCGCAGTCATAGATGTTCAGACTTGATGATCTTTAATACTTCTTATATGTTATTTGTTACGCAGTTTCGCTTTTGTTCTAACATCTTAAATGTAAAATAACGATTTAAGTTAAAAATATATCTTCCAGGACTTAATTAATAATCCAGAGAGTCGGTTTTCAAGGTAAGTAAGTTTTTAGTACCTACATAATTAGGTAAATGCATTATGTTTATAGAAATGGATATTGTAAAATAATTCTTTTAGATTTAGACGATACTAGTAATGATGAAATAATTACCAAAAAAGATAAAGAATTTAAACAAAAAAAAGTACAAAATGATTTTAACACATAAAATGTGTTTAAACAATATTTTTTACTCACACAATCTTTTTTCACTTTTATTTGATTAAAAATGTGTTATTATTTTTAGGCTGCATAAATATGGAAATCGGGTTAATAAAGGATAAATTCCTTAACCATATTAAAAAAATATTTATTCATCTAGCAAAGAAATTAAATCTTTTCTAGAACAAACGAAAATAAAAAGAAGTGTATCCCTTATTAAAGCCAAAGTCCAACACCTTAAGAAAAACGAAAAAAAAAACATTAATTAGTTACCCTTATGATAATTATAATTATAATAATTATTATTCATAACTATTTTAATAGATAAAAATGTTTTACTTTACTTATGTTTTTTAATTATCCCTATTTATTGTTTACTTAAATTTCTTTCTTATATTTTTATTAATATTATAATAAAAATATCAAAAATATAAAAAATAAAAATATTAAAAATAAAGAAATAATTAAAAAAGTAAAATTGATAAAAATAATAAAAATAAATAAATAATGAAGATTGTAAAAGGAATATAAATAATTGAAGTAGATACCTACGTAATAAAAATATTAACAAAAAAAATAATTATAATAAAAATACTTGGTAAAAATAACAAAAAAATTAGAAAAAATAAAAATAATACAAAAATACAATTGAAATATTAAAAATAATAAATATTAAAATAACAAAACTTATTGAAAATAATAATATTAATAATTCTTTCAAAAGTCAATCGGTTTGAAAAGTTTTTAAAAAACTACTTGCAAGCAAAACAGTACATATACAATGTGACCCATTTTTTTACAACTCACCCCTGTAAAATCATTAATTATTGTGCGATTTTAACCGGATTTGTTTTAAGGTGTAGATCTTGATAAACTGTATATTTGGAGCAAAAAACGCCATATTTGTACAAAATGCAAGGCCTACTATGTCAGTTTTTAAGAGTAATTTTTTAAGAATTCATATTAGCGATTTTTTTAAACAAAATCTAAGCACGGCACTGGATTCACCACCCCCTCAAAACGACCCTTTACTAAACTTTATTAAAAAAATTTAAGTAGAAAAATGCACAATAACTACAAAAATTTATCGTCGTTAATAACGACTCGTTATCCATGAAAAAAACATTGAAATAAAATTAAAAATAAATAAAATTAAAAATAAATAAAATTAAACTTATTAAAATTAAACTTATAATAAATACTTACCATGTTATACTATTAGTTTAATTTTATTTCAATGTTTCTTTCATGTATAACTTGACAAAATAAATTTTTGTAGTTATTATTTCTCTATATTTTTCTATTTACATTTTTAATATAATTTAGTATAAGGTCATTTTGAGGGGTGGTGAATCCAGTGCAGTGCTTAGATTTTGTTTAAAAAATCGCTAATATGAATTCTTAAAAATTAACTCTTAAAAACTGACATAGTAGGCCTTGTATTTAGTAAAAATATGGCGTTTTTGCTTCAAAAATACAGTTTATCGAGATTTTACCTTAAAACAAATCTGGTAAAAATCGCATAATAAATAAAGATTTTACAGGGGTTATGTAATAAAACATTTTTTTTTGCCATTATACCTGCAAGACCTATTATATACCAATACGTTCTTTTTTAAATCAAATAAATTATTTATTTCAAAGTACTCCATTTTTATTATTTTTAATATTTTGTCTTTTATA